CACTGGGACATCCCTGGTTTGGGCAGTTCGTAATAATAAAATTGTGAAACGAGTGCGTAATTAGTCACATTTTCATTGTGTTTTGGTTGTTTTTAAGATTTACCCAAAAACCAGTGATTTGTCCCAAGAAATGTTCCTACTTTTGACCAATCTGATTAAAGAGAGGCATATATTGTCTTTTGTTGAGTGAAAATGCAAAAAAGCTTCTTAAAAACGACCAAAACAAAATGAAAATGTGACTAATTACGCACTCGTTTCACAATTTTATTATTATGAACCACCCAAACCAGGGATGTCCCAGTGTTTTATTTTGAAAATTAAGCCAACATGGTTATGTTTTTCATTTGTCTGTTCACTTATACCATGTAAAAAACGTTAATCTAAAGCCCAAGATGCAAAACAGCTCACAAAAACAAACAAAACACAGACATGTTTGCAAAGCAGAGTGACCAGACATTTTTATTTACCCGGGACAGTCCCAGTTTTGAGCCCTGTGTTCCCTGTCCCAGCAGATTTATACAAAATTAGTAATTTGTCCCAGTTTTATACAAGAAATGTCCCAGATGTCCCTATTTTTGACCAATTTGATCATCCCTGTTTACCCGGGACAGTCCCGGTTTTGAGTCTTGTGTTCCTTCTCCTTTGAGATTTACCCAAAACCAGTGATTTGTCCAAGAAATGTCTCTACTTTTGACCAATTTGATCCCTGCCGACAGTAAAGAAAGGCATACATTGTCATTTGTTTAGCAAAAATACAAAAAAGCTTATTAAAAACAACCAAAACACAATGAAAATGTGACTAATTACACACTCGTTTCACAATTTTATTATTATGAACCACCCAAACCAGGGATGTTCCAGTGTTTTATTTTGAAAATTAAGCCAACATGGTTATGTTTTTCATTTGTCTGTTCACTTATACCATGTAAAAAACGTTAATCTAAAGCCCAAGATGCAAAACAGCTCACAAAAACAAACAAAAGACAGACATGTTCGCAAAGCAGAGTGACCAGACATTTTTATTTACCCGGGACAGTCCCAGTTTTGAGCCCTGTGTTCCCTGTCCCAGCAGATTTATACAAAACTAGTAATTTGTCCCAGTTTTATACAAGAAATGTCCCAGATGTCCCTATTTTTGACCAATTTGATCCCTGCCGATAGTAAAAACGAGGCATATATTGTCTTTTGTTGAGCGAAAATACAAAAAAAGCTTCTTAAGAGAGACGGGACACAGGGCTCAAAACTGGGACTGTCCCTTTCGCCTTACACGTTCGAAACGATGATGAATTGTCAAGCAGCCGTCCCCGAAACCGCAAAAATAACCCGCTGAAATAAATAAAAGTGTCTTGTGTTTTAAAGCGGGAGATCAAAGCGGCGCGGAGGCCACACAGGAGCCTCTGTTGTGTCTGCGTCTGAAGAGGAGCTCTCTCTAGTTAGCGCGGGTATTAACATGGATCTGGGTCAACAAAGCTCCGCCGTCCATACCTCATTATTTATCACTGCGGCGGCGGCGGCTCGCGTCTGAAAACACGAGCCCGCGCCGGTTTCTGCCGCGCGGCCCACCTGACCGCACGTCCTCGCTGACCCCGGAGCGGAGAGAGGGAACGAGGGAACGAGGGGGTGAGGGGAGAGGAGGCAGGAAGGAGGGGGCACGGAGGTCAAAGGAGGGTAGGAGGCGAGGGCGGAGGAAGCGAAGTGGCGTGAAGAAGGAAAGGAGGCGAGTTGAAAGGGTTAAAGTGAGTGGTTTAAAGAGCCCGTGTTACTCAAATTTCTGATCTGCTGGGAGATACCAAATAATAGCCTGGGCGTTTATTTGTTTCACTTAACAGACCAGGCGTTTATTTGAGACCAGCAGGCAGCAATTTGGGGCAGATTAATTGCTTTCTCACAGAAAAACTAGGAAAATATGCTACTCAAATTCTTTTAACCAGTATGACTGTAATTTACAGTTTTGAGTGAGTTGTACAGTTGTAGGGAGTATTATCTGTTACATGAGGGTGAGTTGTTGTACAGTTGTAGGGAGTATTATTTGTTACATAAAGGTGAGTTGTACAGTTGTAGGGAGTATTATCTGTTACATAAGCGTGAGTTGGTCTACAGTCGTAGGGAGTATTATCTGTTACATAAAGGTGAGTTGTTAAACAGTTGTAAGGAGTATTATCTGTTACATAAGTGTGAGCTGTTGTACAGTTGTAGGGAGTATTATCTGTTACATAAGCGTGAGTTGGTCTACAGTCGTAGGGAGTATTATCTGTTACATAAAGGTGAGTTGTTAAACAGTTGTAAGGAGTATTATCTGTTACATAAGTGTGAGCTGTTGTACAGTTGTAGGGAGTATTATCTGTTACATAAGCGTGAGTTGGTCTACAGTCGTAGGGAGTATTATCTGTTACATAAGCATGCGTTGTTGTACAGTTGTAGGGAGTATTATCTGTTACATGAGGGTGAGTTGTACAGTTGTAGGGAGTATTATTTGTTACATAAGGACAGTTGTAGGGAGTATTACCTGTTACATAAAGGTGAGTTGTTGTACAGTTGTAGGGAGTATTATCTATTACATAAGGATGAGTTGTACAGTTGTAGGGAGTATTATCTGTTACATAAAGGTGAGTTGTTGTACAGTTGTAGGGAGTATTATCTGTTACATAAGCATGCGTTGTTGTACAGTTGTAGGGAGTATTATCTGTTACATGAGGGTGAGTTGTACAGTTGTAGGGAGTATTATTTGTTACATAAGGACAGTTGTAGGGAGTATTACCTGTTACATAAAGGTGAGTTGTTGTACAGTTGTAGGGAGTATTATCTATTACATAAGGATGAGTTGTACAGTTGTAGGGAGTATTAAATATTATATAAGGATGAGTTGTACAGTTGTAGGGAGTATTATCCATCACATAACAGGCGAACTAAATTATAAATATGCTACTTTTCATAATCATTATAAAAAATGATTTAAAAGTGCTTAATAACAGTTACAAGTCCAGAATTCATATCAAATTCCTATTATTTATTAATTTTATTTATTTTTTGTTTAATTTCGGGTTATTTTTTGGATTCGTGGTTAAGACTCTTCACAGAACGGTTGATCTGAGTGAAAATAAGTGCGTTACAGATTTCTATAAATGTTTCAGATGTGCGTGAGATTGAGAGAAACAGAAATTAATTCAGAAATGCTGAACGTGCACGGGTTTTAAAAGATCTTTTCATTCACATGTACGTAGTAGTGCTTCATGATTTGTAGACTGGTGCGCCCTCTGCTGGTACATGTCCGTACTACAGCTCTATCAGGCGCGTGCTGTGTTCTGTTTGCTTATATCACTTAAGATAATTTAACAATACGCATACAAAAAAATAAATAATAATAATAATGATAATAATAAGAAGAATAAATAATATAAATTTAATAATAATAATAATAATAATAATAATAATAATAATAATAATAATAATAATAATAATAATGTGTGTTTAGTTAAGTCTGTTTTATTGTGGATGTGCTGGGTATCCAATCCCTTAAATTTGACAAATTATAAAAAAAAAAAAAAAAAAGATAATTTAACAATAGACTAGAGCGACCAGACGTCTCTATTTACCCGGGACAGTCCCAGTTTTGGGTCCCGTGTCTCCTGTCCCAGCAGATTTATCCAAAACCAGTGATTTGTCCCAGTTTTATGTAAGAAATGTCCCAGTCGTCCCTATTTTTGACCAATTTGTTACCGAAACACAGTAAAGAGGCAAAAATATTGTGTTTTTCTTTTTCTATTCATCAGTTCATCTTGGAGAACCTGCCTACCGTCGAGTGAACGAATCCTAATGCTGCGAGGTCAGGCTACATATTTTGAAAAAACTGGGACAAATCACTGGTTATATAAATCTGCTGGGACAGGGGACACAAAGCTCAAAACTGGGACTGTCCCGGGTAAAAAGGAACGTCTGGTCACCCTCTTATATTTGTTAAGATACAGCTCAAGATCATTCTAAAACTATTCAGGAAAGCTTCATTTATGTCCAGCAAATGTGATTTACCTGTGAATAATGAGTACTGAGTTTCAATCCTAGTTTTCGTATCAATTAGTGACTGATTTTTGATACTTTTGACAACTTAACAACAGATATATCACTCTCAAATTTGTCGTGCGGCTTGAATTTGGAGTTAAATATCATTTACAGGCAGCGTTGGGAAGGTGACTTTTAGAATGTATTCACCTACAGATTACAGATTACACACCCCAAAATGTAGTTTGTAATGTAATCTGAATACTTTGGATTACTTGATTTGCTGTAGAGAAGCAAAGATGAGGAAATCTTCACATACGATGTTTTGTCTGCTAAAAGAAAATGAAAAGCCCAGACTTAAAAGTATTATTGATAGAAAAGGAGGAGACATGGTCCGCACAGCATGGTTTAGTCCTGTTAAATGCTGTTTTAGTCCTGGTTTAGACCTGCTTTAGTCCTGCTTTAGACCTGGTTTAGACCAGGTTTAGAACTGGTTTGGACCTGGGTTTAGACCTGGTTTTAGACCTGGTTTTAGACTGGGTTTTAGTCCTGGTTTAGACCTGGTTTAGACCTGGTTTTAGTCCTGGTTTAGACCTGGTTTAGTCCTGGTTTTAGTCCTGGTTTAGACCTGGTTTAGACCTGGTTTTAGACCTGGTTTTAGACCTGGTTTTAGTCCTGTTTAGACCTGGTTTTAGTCCTGCCTTTAGTCCTGCTTTTAGACCTGGTTTAGACCTGGTTTTAGACCTGGTTTAGTGTCCGGCAATGAGTGGAATTACTGGATACTAAAAAAAAAAAAAGGGAATAGCCCAAAATGTGAAAACAGGAAAATACCGCCATTTAATCCATTTATTTTAATAAAGTAACTGTAATCCAATTACCACTCACTGAAACAGTAACTGTAACTGAATACAGTTACTCATAATTTGTACTCTGATTATGTAACTCCGGTACATGTAATCTGTTACTCCCCCAACACTGTTTACAGGCAACAAAACAAAAACAACTTGAGTAAACACATTTATTGAGTTATTTCAGTTTAGACTTTTTCAGCTGATATGGCATTAATAAATCAGTTTTTCACGCTCTGTTCCGCTGTTTCTGCTCCACGTCGTCCTCACCGACGCTGTCCTCTGGCGTGTCCACCATCTCTACAACACGAATGTCCTCCGCCGCGTCCCCTCTCGTCTCTACTACTTCTTCCGGCGCCTGTGTCTCATCTTTAGTGTCCAACGTCTCCGCTACAAGTCCGTCCTCCATCAGGTCCTTTACTTCCTCCACAAAGTCCAGTGTCTCTGCCGTTTGAATGTCCACATGTGTCTCGTCTTTTGCCATAAGAGTGTATTCTATCGTGTCCTCTTCTTGCTTAAAGTCCAGTGTCTCTGCAGTTTGAGTGTCCACCTCTGTCTCCTCAGGTATGTCCGCAGTGTCCATGTGAGCAGTGTCCACGTGGTCCATCTTCAGGTCCTCGGTCTCTGCTTGCGTCTCCGCTTGTGTCTCCGCTGGTCTGTCCTCTGTCTTCTCTGCTGCCGTCTCCTCTGGTCTTTCTTCTGTCCTCTCTGCTGCTGTCTCCGCTGGTTTGTCCTCTGTCCTCTCTGCTGCTGTCTCCGCTGGTTTGTCCTCTGTCCTCTCTGCTGCTGTCTCCTCTGGTTTTTCTTCTGTCCTCTCTGCTGCTGTCTCCGCTGGTTTGTCCTCTGTCCTCTCAGCTGTTGTCTCCTCTGGTCTTTCTTCTGTCCTCTCTGCGTCTGTCTCCTCTGCTGTGTCCCCTGTCCTCTCGGCTTGCGTCTCCTCCTCCTCGTGGACGCCGACGGGGAGCCAGGAGTCCTTGTGCAGCTTCTCGTTCAGCTCCACCTCCTTCACACCGGGGGGCGCTGTGGCCTGCAGGTCAGAGAGAGATGTTAGACGGGTAAATGCACGCAGTCGGTTTGAGTCAGAGCACAAATGAAGCATAACAGACGTATAGGCTCTGTTCACGCCTACGTCACAAACCAGAAAGACGTTCGGAAACATGCGACGACAACTTCCGGTGTAGTTTCTGACACTGGGCTCACCGACCGACTGTGATAAAACCCACTGAAGTAAATGTGATCAGTGGTAAAATGAAGACTGTATACGTATCTGTTGTTTGGAATCATCTAGAATTTGGCGCCTCATCTATTCTAATCAAGTTGTGTCAGTGTGGAAATGATGAAAACTGAGGTATGGTTGGAATTGTTGTTTAGCCGAACATAACAGAACACTACAACGACATGGAGATGAAGGAAACTGGGACATTTTCAAATTTTTCCTATTTTTCAAACTTACCCACAGAACTATAATAAAACCTGGAAGGTGAACCCAAAATTGTTTTCACTGGCCTGTGCTCATTGGCGCATGGGTCCAAAAATAATTTTCTCTTCCAAATTTACTTCCTCAATCCGGGCGAGCATCCTGATGTCTGTAACGTGCACGGCATGGAGCATTTGGACCAATCAGAGCGAGAGCAGCTGGAGCAGCGCTAGAGCGGGCTCAGAGCGGGGCCTACAAAGCAAACTTTTAGATGCTTTGAGGATTTAAAATTTTTTAAAAGTTTATCTTGTGAAAATATAAAAGAATATCTACAAAATCCGACCTTTGTGAAAGTTGTGGATGCTCTGTCAGCTGAACACGGGCAGTTTGATTTCCCAAAAAATGCATCGCAGTCTCTGGGAGAATTCTTTTTGGGTCAAAACTCCCGGGAGCTGCAAAACCTGGAGCGGCCACTAGTCTGTCTCGAGCCAGGACAGAAGGGGACAGGCTTATCCAGTTTTTATTACAGATCCATCGACTTACTACTGCGAACAGAACCTGCCGGAAGTTGTCATTTTGCATGTTTCCAAATGTCTTCCTGGTTTATGACGTAAGCGTGAATAGAGCCTATTGTAGACCTGTGCTGAATATAATGTAATAATCAGTAGTGACATATGTAGGTGTTTACACTGCAGAATGATTGTTTAATGCATTTAGGCCATTAGAAACACATAAAAATTACCAAATTAAGTCATTTTCATAACTATCAACACATAAAAACATTGAAAACATAATACATGAAAAAAATGAAACCAATAAAAACAAAAAAATCATATGACCAAAATGGTGAACTGATCACAAAACTGGAAGACGTTTGGAAACCTGCGGATGACGACTTCCTTTGGGCTCTGTTGGTGATAGTTTGTTATTCTGACAAAATCTGGGAAAGCTGAGAAAATGGTCTGGTTTTCTTTATCTAGATACCATTGTATTATAAATTGCCTATAAAGTTTCTGTACTGGCGAAAGTGAGGCCCGGGCCGCGACAACTATAGTTCCGCGAGGATTCACGCGGTTCGGAGGGACGTAGTCAAGACGAGGGGCAATTGTCGTGAAGCACTGCCACCCCAATCACGGATTAGTTCCTTCGTGGATATTAAAGAGCCGAGCCTTCTGTGTAGTTGCACATGTAGTAATCTAATGTAAACACACAAATTGCGCAAATTCATCCATGCCTAGCCCTGCATCGAACAGAACGTCCCGCATCGAAATGGTTCGGTACGAATACATGTACCGTTACACCACTAATACATATATTATTAACCCAGGTTCTGTTACGTATATATTAGACCATACATTCAAGAATGGGCACAGGTTGCTCCTTCCCATTGAACATTTAGTAACTGAAAATCTAAGTCTATCAACATTATCATTTTAGTGTAATATTTTCTATGGTCCAGTAATGACGTTTGTGCAGGTGTGTGTCAGTAAAACTTCTGTCACTCGTCATGAAACAAACATCAGACTTTCCCTCTCCTCACCTGCATGTGCGCCGGCAGATGCTTGTACTCCGCCTCGTTCACGTCAAAATCCTCCATCTTCTTGTCCAGGACCCACCAGCGCCCCACGAAGCCCACGTCCAGCACCCGGCCGGGCAGCTCCCTCCAGGGCACGGACAGGTCGGGGCAGGCGGCCTCGTACAGCGCGTTCTGGGGGTCGAAGTCGGCGCTGTACACCACGGAGAACAGGCCCAGGCTCAGGTGGCGCAGGCAGCCCTGGTTCCTCAGCTTGACCAGGTTCTGGACGTGCAGGTCGGACGCGCCGTTGCGGATCCAGGGGGAGAGCAGGGCCAGCTGGTTAGAGCGGTCCAGCAGGGCGGCCTGGAAGTGGACACGGGACATTAAAGAGGGGGTATGAATCTTCTATGGGGTATTAACTGTAAGACATCACATATTTAGATCACCATGTTAGGGATGGGCATTCGATTAAATTTTCTTAATCGATCGTCTGAAGAATTAACAATCAATTATCGATTAATCATTAACGTTTTAATATTTAAATTATCATCATTATTATTACTATCTGCACTACTAATCTGCATAAATAAATTCTACTTTACGACATATAAACCGTGACCGCTCTAGAGCCACATCAGCCCGTTTGACATTATAATGTGTTTAATGCAGTTTTGCGCAACTCTCACAGAAACAAAACTCAAAACCACATCGCTAATTTGCATAAACTAAGTGAAGATAAAACTACAGCTCTTGTGTCGCTGATGTGGTTCAACTTCTGTTGGATTAAAAGACATGACTCAGTGGAATACAGGTTAGTGTGATCATATTTGCGTTTGTCAAAACCAGGACACCGTACAGGGGGAGGGAGGTGGGGACTCGTCATCGACATTGAGCGACTCTCACCTGGAAAAACTTTTTCCCACTGGACACCGAAACATCTGTGCTGCTTTATACACTGTGCACATGGACTCACACTCGTCCCAAACGCAACGGAAAGTGTGGAATTTCTTGTACAAATCATCGTTAAATACACATTTGTGCTTCGGTACGTTACAGACTGACTGTTTCGCTCCTTACGAGTGCAGAGACACATGTACACACCTGTTAGGTTACGTTACGCACAGCAACTTACATTCAGTTTGTCGATTAAAATGAACGTAATCGATGAAATTCTTAATGATCAATTATCGATTAATCGATTAATCATGCTCATCCCTACACCATGTTACCTTTTATAGTTTTGAAAATTAGGGATGGGCATGATTAGTCGATTAATCGATAATCAATCATTAAACTGAGCGTCTCTCATAGCTCTCTGCACTTAGAAGGAGCGAGACACAAACAGTCGGTCAGTCTGCAACACGCCGAAGCACAAATGCGCATTTAACGATGATTTGTACAAGAAATTCCACGCTTTCCGTCCTGGTCGAGACAAGTGGGAGACCTTGTGCACAGTGTATAAAGCAGCACATATGATCCGGTGTCCAGTGGCGGTGCCAGGGACCTCAAAGCACCAGGACACCGACGAACATGAAAAACTTTTGCCAGGTGAGAGTCGCGCAATGTCGATGACGAGTCCCCACCTCCCTCCCCCCGTACGGTGTCCTGGTTTTGACAAACGCAAATATGGTCACACTAACCTGTATTCCACTGAGTCATGTCTTTTAATCCGACAGAATTTGAACCACATCAGCGACACAAGAGCAGATTTGTTTCTTTGCTTAGTTTATGCAAATGAGCCATGTGGTTTTAAGTTTTGTTTCTGTGAGACTTGCACAAAGCTGCATTAAACACATTATAATGTCAAACGGGCTGATGTGGCTCTAGAGTCGTTACGGTTTATATGTCGTAAAGTTGAATTTATTTATGCAGATTAGTAGTAATAATAATGATCATTTTAATATAAAAACATGAATGATTAATCAATAATCGATCGTTAATTCTCCGGACGATCGATTAAGAATATTTTATCGAATGCCCATCCCTAGTATCGTGATAGTATTGCGATATATCGTACTGCGACATAAGTATTGTAATACATATTCTATCATCAGACTCATGACAAACTGAGACTTTAAAATTTTATCTATTCATTTGACATCAGGGAATAATTAACGAAACCAGCTGCCTGACACCGTCCCGTCTTTACCTGGAAGGACAACTGGTCGGGTTTGGTGGAGAAGCAGGCGTACGCTCCCCCCAGGAGGCCCAGGTACACAGAGGCTTTGAGCGGGCGCTCTTTGGCCCCGACCACCGCCTCCCGACAGGCCTCTTTGTAGTCGGACAGCAGACTGCGGCACCACACTCCTGAAACACACAACACAGATAACATCACAACAACAAGTACTGAGAGTTGGTGGTGAACAATCAAATAGCAACAAGGAACAAGACTCTAGAAGCTGCACGACCGTATCACTGTGATGAACAGATTTGAAAAGAATAAATGAACAGGTTTAGTTGTAAATATTGGTGTGCAATATAATGAAATACCAATAATTAGGGCTGTGTATCATTAAGAAGTTGCATATTTGATACACACCTCGATTCATGGGCCATGATACGATATACATCTCGATACAGTGCACTTTCAGTTCGATACGATACATTTCAAAATGATTCGATACTGTTCAATAAAAAACTAAAAGGCTAAATCGCGGCTGTGATACTAAAAGTCCTAAGTGTTAAATCACTTCTTGTGCAAAGTTCATATGAAACATAAACATTTTAATCATCAAAACAGTGAAAATGTGTCACATAAATGAGTTTCCTTCCTCTAAACAAGCAACAAAACTGTAGCCGTAACAAAATAATTTCGTAAAATACACCCAAAAATACTCTTTGAGATAGATCGATACAGCAGCCCATGATATTGATACTGTATCATCACATTAAACGATACGATATATTGATATTTCGATATTTTTGCACACCCCTACCAATAATATTCTGAATGTTGTTTTCAATATATGCAAAATATAACAAATCTGGCAAATTATTTATAATTCGATATAAATATGTCTCTGGGCTGGCCTGGGAACGCGTCAAGATCCCCCTGGAGGAGCTGGAGGAAGTGTCTGTGTGGAGAGGGAAGTCTGGGAGGCCACAGATAAGCGGAAGAAAATGGAATGGATATAAATCTTTCAAACAAGGATAGATTTCAAGTAATATTTCTGTATGAAAATGGAAGAGAATGTCCAATACTTAATCCTTAAAAACACACAAGATGTTCTGTCCCTCATTTACTGAACAATTTGTCCACACAGTATTTTATCCTGACACGCTTAGCCATAAAATCAGCTGATTAATCCAGTACAGTTTACTAGACATCAAACTTCTTAAAGGAACTGTATGTGGCCTGCATCGTTATTGAGCTAAAGAAAATAAATTACACTCACACCTGACCCTGCGTCTCCAGAGCTTTACATAATACATATATTATTAACCCAGGTTCTGTTACATATGTATTAGACCACACCTGTGAGGATGGGCACGGGTTGCTCCTTCCCATTGTACATTTATTAATGCAAATCTAAGTCTATCAACATTATTTGATATTTTGATTTCAAAATACTGTGCTGAAGAAATTAGTGCTTAGTGTATATGTATGTGTATGTATATGTATATGGGTGTATATATGTATATATATGTATGCACGGGTATGTACATGTGTATATTATGTGTATGTAGGTATGTAAATATTATATCTGTGTATATGATGTGTACTATATCTGTGTACATAATATACATACATTTGTTGTTGTTAGATTTGTAATGCAGTGCAGGTACTGTGCAATTATTGCTTATATTGTACAGGAAATGAGAAGTCTATATGTGTTCTTTGTTAATTTGGGACGGTAGAAAAAAGGGGTGGGGTTAAATAAGTATTTACTTCCTCCCACTCCTTTTTCGGACACAAGGAAAATTCGGCGTAACATTTATTTTGCCTGTTATTATAGAATAGAAATAGTTACTTTTTGTGTTACATCTATGTATTCACATTTTTTATTTATGTTCTATGTATTACTGTCCGAATAAACATTCATTCATTCATTCATCCATCATTTTTTAAGCACAGTTTACATATTTAACTGGTCCAGCAATGCCAGTTGTGCAGGTGCGTGTGTAAACTTAAACCTTCTGTCACTCCTCATGAAACAAACATCAAGACTTTCCCTCTCCTCATTATTGTTCTAAAGAAAATAAATTACAATCACATCTGACCCTGTGTCCCCAGAGTCTTCACCTGCAGACAGAGACAAGTCCAAGTTTGTCTCATTCTCAGTTTGTGTTCAGGCCTCATGTGAAATCTCAGAACCTCCAGAATTCCCTCCCTGAGCTGCAGAGGCCGCACTAGCACTGATTCATGATGGGTTAAAGGTGCTGGGCTTTAGCTCGTGACCAGATCAGATCAGAGAGAAGCATTTTAGGTTTAAACCAAGAGACTCGTGTGAGGATCTGTCTGATTTCTGATCGGATAATCGTCTTTTGAACGAAAACAAAAGAAATGTTGTCTGTAAAAGTTAGATTTGATACAATATGATGATAGAAAAGGTCAAGTTTGTGAAATTTAAAACTAAAATCGGACATACAGTTCCTTTAAGTGAGCAGGAAATCACTTAGCCAACTATGACGCTATTTTGTAGGGGTGTGCATTGCCTTGAGTCTGACGATACGATACGTATCATGATTCGCATGTCACGATTCAATATTTTATTTTATTTTTTTTTTTATGCATTTATTTTGGGCAAGTAAAGATTTACATTTATATACAATGGAACATATGACATAAGTGAAATCATAATAGAAAGGAAAATAACAACAACTACTAATAACTATTATTATCACTATTTTGCCCAAAAAGGAGTGGGAAGAAGAAAACTTATTTAATCCCACCCCTACTCTTCATAATCTAACACAATGATCTTATTTTGCGTTTTTCAGACATTTTGAATTAAACTATATGAACTATTTACAAGTGCAGACAAGAGTCACTGTTATAGCTTGGTAGTACAACATAAGTGCACCATCAATGGTAAAGTTAAGGAAACAGACAATGGTAAGAAACAACAAACATAAACCAGCGTTACAGAGGCAGTATTTTTCCAATATTATGACCCACTCTCCATATACTGTGACCAAACCATATGTTTATATAACAACTTGAATTTATGGATATTTTGGCATTGCTTGAGACGTGTATCCAGTCTGTTCCAGAGTTTTACACCACATACAGACACAATATATCACGACATATCTCGATACTAAAACAATGGATGGTATATTGCGATTTATCAGTAATTACTTCTAATAAAACAGTCAACTACGCCTTCAAAAGAACACAACTGTGTAAATATAATTATGAAATTGTAAAAAATCATGCAAACAGTGAATGTAACTAATGAATTTTTGCGAAAAATCACGATATATCGCTGAACCGATTTTTTTCTTACACCCTTCCTATTTTGTACAGTCTTATCACACTACTCTTATAATAATAGTAATAATTTAATCTACTGTAATCATAATAGTCTGGATATTGCTGTATATTTATCTCTTGGGCTCCTGCTGCTGTCAAATGCACATTAGTCCAGTGACAGTGACAGGCACAAGTTCCCACACGAGAGTTCAGTTTTCTCACCGGCTTTACTCTGCTTCAACCTCTCCCAGCGGCTCACGGGGGCCGGGGCCGGAGCCGGGGCCGGGGCCGCCTCTGCCGCGGTACACAGCGCCCTCCTCACCGCACGAAACGAGGCCATTTCAGCGGATTTGAGCTTCTCCGGTCACCTTCATCACCCCCGCAGCATCACGAAGGCGGCCGGTCACATGGGACCAAAATGGCGAGAGAGGTCCTCCTTCTGTAACAGTCCGATGAGAAACAAACCGGCAAAAGTAAAGGACCGAGTCAAGCCGGGTTTCTTGTATCCTTTTTTTTTTTTTTTTTTTTTTTAAGCTTCTTGTTGTTTCTGAACGATGTAGATTTGTTCCATTGACTAGAAGCTTTAGAACTGCCCCCTTAGTTTTTTCGTAAATGTGTTTTCGTTTATTTATTTATTTTTCCTTACAATTGTGTTTTTTGTTTGTTTGTTTGTTTTTTGTTTGTTTGTTTAGGTGTGATCTTTGTGTGTTGCCTTTTTGTTTGTGTCTGTGGTTTGAAATACTAAAAAAAAAGTAGCTAGCCAATATTAAATTAATCTAAAATTTTAATAAATATAAAATTACTGATCCGTGACCAAAAAAAATAACCCAGCGTGAATATAAACGTACAATACAAAGTAAAAAAAAAAAAAAAAAAAAAAAATCGTCAATATTACGTTAATCTTACGTTAATCTAAAAAATTGAATAAATATAATATTACTGATGCATGACCGACAAAAATAACCCAGCGTGAATATAAACGTACGATACACAGTTAAAATAATAATAATAATAATAAATAAAAACGAAATTTATTTGACAGGATGCACGTGACGGCTTTGTTTACGCGGTGACGTGTACCGGAACTACAGTTTGACCAGTGACGGTACGTGTCGGATAAATCGGGTAGAGAGTTGTTTTATTAAATTTACCCGGATTTTTGTTTTCTTTTGTGAATCGGATGTTATTATATTTTTTGTAAGCAGCGATTTATGTCCGTATCATCTTAATACATGCGGCAGAACACGCGGCTGTGCCTGGTCCACAAGGCCAGCTGTCACACCTGAGTCTGAGCTGTCATCATTACACTGAGGGACAGGTACCTATGTTTGTTTATCATATTTTTAAAGCTTTTTTTCTGCTAAAATAAGCCAGGACGTGTTAAATTGTAGATATTATTATGTTTAGGCTTTCTTACTGTATTGAGATTGTAAAATGTGTTTAGATTTAGACTTAGAGAAACACAGTAGAGCTGCTCTTTTTTATTATTATTAAGTTACAGATACACAGTGTTGGGGAGTAACAGATTACATGTACTAGAGTTATGTAATCAGAGTACAAATTATGAGTAACTGTATTCAGTTACAGTTACTGTTTTAATGAGTGGTAATTGGATTACTTTTACTTTGTTGAAATAAGTAGATTACACGGTGGGATTTTTCTTTCTATTTTTTTTTTTTTCTTTTGTCATAATTCCACTCATTGCCGGACACTAAACCAGGAATAAAACCAGGTCTAAACCAGGACTAAACCAGGACTAAACCAGGTCTAAAACCAGGTCTAGGTCTAAAACCAGGAAACTAAACTAGGTCTAAACTAGGTCTAAACCAGGTCTAAACCAGGTCTAAACCAGGTCTAAACCAGGTCTAAACCAGGTCTAAACCAGGACTAAACCAGGACTAAACCAGGACTAAACCAGGACTAAACCAGGTCTAAAACCAGGTCTAAAACCAGGTCTAAAACCAGGTCTAAACTAGGTCTAAACCAGGACTAAACTAGGTCTAAACTAGGTCTAAACTAGGTCTAAACCAGGTCTAAACCAGGTCTAAACCAGGATTTAACAGGTCTAAACCAGGTCTAAACCAGGATTTAACAGGTCTAAACCAGGTCTAAACCAGGATTTAACAGGACTAAACCAGGTCTAAAACCAGGTCTAAAACCAGGTCTAAAACCAGGTCTAAACTAGGTCTAAACTAGGTCTAAACTAGGACTAAACTAGGACTAAACCAGGTTTAAACCAGGATTTAACAGGTCTAAACCAGGACTAAACCAGGTCTAAAACAGGATTTAACAGGACTAAACCATGCCGCGTGGACCGTGTCTCCTCGTCTTCTATCAATAATATTTTTAATACGGTAAAGTAAAGTCTGGGCTTTTCATTTTCTTTTATCAGACAAAACTTCTTATGTGAAGATATTCCTGTCTTTGCTTCTCTACAGCAAATCAAGTAATCCAAAGTATTCAGATTACGTTACTCACTTTAAGTAATTTAATGGATTATGTTACAAACTACATTTTGGTGTATGTAATCTGTAATCTGTAGGGGATTACATTTTAAAAGTTACCTTCCCAACACTGCAGATACACAGATATATACATGACACAAGTTGGGCAATAACAAAAAAATTGATGACCTCTAATGCCACTGACAGAGTGAAGTAGTGAAGTAGAGAATAAAAAATAAATATAATAATAATATTAAATAGGCACATAGAGTACATTTCATATTGTGGGGTTTATCTGAGTTCATATGTAATTAAGTAGATAAAGATTAGTTCATTCTCCAACTGGGGAAATAGTTCATTGACCATAAAAGGGTTAAAGTTCTTGTTCATAAGGGGTTAAAGTTCTTGTTCAAAATTGGGGTGGGGTTGTGTAGTGGCTGCTCGATTATGGAAAAAATAATTATCACGAATATTCTGGTCAATATTGAACTCACGATTATTCAAATTATTACTTTTTTTTAGTTGCACGATGCATTCATTCAGTATTTCTCTCTCTTTAAAAAAACAAAAACAAAGCAATAAAAAAAAAAAACCTTTGTTATTGATAATTTACTCAAAACTTTCAAATTGAAAACTAAATAAAGGCTACAAATATCAATATGAATATAGAGCAGTTTTGCGATGTATAAAACATAAAATTAATTAAAATATACTTTGAATAGGTACTTTGAACATGAAACAAGGCATAGAAAAACATAAATGTATCCAAAATAAGATACCGTATTTTCTGCACTATAATGCAGAAAATACGGCATATATCCAGCTGTTCCCTGATTGAAAAAATAAAATAAATATACTTATTTATATTAAAAAATATCCCAAAATAAACTTTGTTAAGCTTTAATCGTTTCAACTTGATTATATGAGTTTGGAGATTGTTTGAGACACAAAATTGCGATCAAAATTCGTTTAATTGCACAGCCTTAGTTCACACATCACAATATAATATAATAACAAAGAGTAAAAAATGTAAATAGTTATAAAAGTCTAAATAAGTAACAAAAAACAGCAAGAGACACGTGTCGAATAAGACGTAAAAATGTGAATGTACAATGTAAATGTCAAACTAAAATAGAAAAATAAGTAATAAAATCTCAGCAACAATGATAAGATTATCTACACGACGTTGGGTTATCTGTTACATAAAGGTGGCTTGTTGTACATGTCTTTGATTACTTAAGGCGTTTTTGTTTATTTAACCTCTTTTTAGGTCCTGGAGGTTGTAACTGTTTTCCCCCGAGACCATGGCAAGTCCAAATGATCTGCAATTTCAAGGTAAACGTGCTCTATGTTCTTCTTACTAATTAAATAATGTACGCTACCAGTCAAAGGTTTAGAGCCCCACGCTTTTTCCAGGTTTTTGCTGAAAATTATACAGTTTATTCTGTCATTGCACTCTGACATGAAAGCATAGATAGAACAAATAAGTTTATAGACCAAAACGTATTCTAAACTTTTGATTCATGAAAGTGTCCACCTTTGGCAGATATAACACCTGAACACACTCGTGGCTCGTTCTTTTTACAACAGAAATCAAATATTCTTCAGAAAGTTCTTCCCAGGTCTGTCCAGTTCATCCCAAACCAGCTCGATGGGGTTTAAGTCTGGACACTGTGCTGCTGGACACTCCATGTTTTCAAGCTTTACCATGTTGTTCTTTTTTCCTGAGGTAGTTTTGGCAGAACTTGGACTTGTGTTTTGCTCTTTTGTCTCTTTTTTTTTAACCTTTGTACCATTTCAATCTCTTCATTGGACTTGGACAACTTGAATTGCAATAAATAGCTGGAAAAATTTGAGCGTTGTAAAACTTTTGACCGGTAGCGTGTGCTTTTTACTTAATGCCCTGACTTTGGTGTGTCAATAGTGCCTTCGTAAAAGTGCATAATCAGATCATTTTCTTTAACCCCACCTACAGCTCCTCCTACTACGACCGAGTGCTGCAAAACTAAGATAACTGCTGCACTGTGGGAGAGGGAACACATGACTCACATGACTTGGAACATATAACTTCTTGTTTTACTTCTCCTTAAAGCAACGTTGTGTAAAATAAAATAAATTACTTTTACTGAACATTTTTTTAATCTTAATCCACATCCACTTTTTTTTGCCAATCAAAGATACAGAAATTTGGGCACCTGGTAAAATTTAAAACATGCCAAATCTTATTTAAAGAGAAACTCAACCTGCTCCTAGATAAAATTCAAAAACTGTTCTGCACAAATTAACTCAAATACAACCTGAGAGGTCAAATGAATTTTCAAAAACATTTCTCGCAAACCACTCTTAAAAGCAGGTGTGTTTCCAGACGTGGAGTAGACTTATGGAACAGCTTAGATGATCATATCAATGTTTGTACTAACTTGGTGCACTTCAAAAAACAATATACAAAACAAATCTTACAGAAATACCGAGAAGACTAGATCCAAGTAAAACACGACTTATAGTCCGGTTCACTATATACTCTTGTGGGAATTTTTGGGGGATTTGCTAAACTGTATATTTTTGGAAAGGTTATAGTATATGGAGTCAGAAAATCAATGTTTGCATTTGCCCAGATGTCGATATGGCAGCCATATTGAATTTTTTTTAAATGGCCTCCAAAAAACGCTTTTAGAAATATCTCAGCCTCTGAATAAGTTGAAATGTTGATTTTTAACTGGTAAACCCACATTTTCAGGGTCAGGGAATTAAATGGTGCTAGTAACAACGCTGTAAGACCTACACACATTAACCCTTAGATGTATAAGTGGGTCAAAAATTAATCTTGCAATTTTATTGTAATATTTGCATGTAATACTCCATGTTCCTCCAAAAACATGTTGTTGTTTTTTTTTTTGTTTTTTATTATCCTGTTGAAATACATCAACAATGTGGGTAAAACAAACTATAAACATCACATGCAGTTGGTCAGAAAACTCAAAGAGTTTAAAATTAACATAAAATTTTGATGTTGAACAAACACATTTAGACACAATATGATTACTCAACCTTTTTATTAGACATTTTTATACATCATCATCATCATCATCACTTTCATACAACCATAGACTGTATATACGAGTGGACAGGACAGATCTAACGCTGTAGCCGCCGTGTGACAAACAGGAAGTTCTCCAGGAGGCTCTTCTGGCTCCTTCTGACTCTGGCTCCAGTTGACTCACATTAGGCTCTTGTGGCTCCTCTCTCTGTACCTGCTCCTGTGAGCCTCGACATTTTGGTCATAAAATGTTTGTATTAACCCACAACACATGATCCTGAATTTTTTTTTTTTCGCTATTTTGTCTGTCAGAAAAATCCTATTCATAACATAGAGTCTGGCTCCAGGCACAGTCCCAAAAATATATAGTTTAGCAAATCCCCCAAAAAACTCCCACTAAGGTTAAGAAGTGAATATAAGGAACCGGACTATTAACTAAACACATGCTTTTTCTAAGCATTTTCTTTAACATTTTCTTTAACATGACCTTTTATTTTGATATGATCATACATTTTGTGCCTTCTTTATCATTATTAGTTTGTACGACCATAAACAAAAACAAATCTGGCATCTTTAAAAAATGAAGATAAGAACTAAAAAAAAAAAGTTTAAAAAAGTGATTGTATTTTTGTTCGAGGGGCTGGAACAACACAAATGATGATTAAAAAACACTGTAGAAGCCTTTGAAACAGAGTATAAAGCATTATATTTCTGGAATGAATGAATTATGGATTAAATTGTTTGTTTATTTATATTTTGTCTCTTATATTTACAGCAAGTTGCAAGTGAAATTGTAAATCCAGACTTGCCGTTTGTACGCTGCTTTTCTTTTTTGGAATTATGTCAGGGTTTGGCTTTATAAGTACTTTTTACTCCAGCCTAAACCCCTTTGGTCATGATCCAAGGGGTTGTAGTTTATGTTTTTGTTTTGTTTTGTTTTGTAGTGCTGCAAAATGACTGAATAAAAAACTATTAGTACTACTATGGCGATAACAAAAGAGCAGCAGATCTGAACACATCTCCTACCAGCTTCATTCACTCTGATACGTTTTTGCTCACTGTTTACCGTTGTTGTTTTGCGGAGCAGAGTTCGAGGAGGCGGCTCAGCTCTTGTCCTCCGACCCCGGGGCCTCGACTCTGAGCGTGTCCGCCTCAAACCACGGCGTGACAGCAGGGGGCGGCAGCGAGGAGGTGAGGCTGGACCTGTCCGACGAGGAGGAGGCGCAGCAGGAGAGCTCCGAGGTGAGTGTCTGAGGAATACAGGTCACACTCACATCCTAACATCCGGTCTCCTCAAAGCATTCCTCCAATTTAGATCCTGATTATTGTAATTGTAACTGAATGACATTCTTTACTTTCTTACATGATAAAAAAAAGTACAGCCTCTTTTAAAATCCGCACGCCTGATCATATAATAGCTATTTCTGAAACTTTATCAACTAAAATTACTGTTACCTCTGGCCTTTTTTCAGCGTTTATAGGGAGAATTAACAGGAATCATCAATAAAAATAATGATAATAAAAGAAAAAGGAAAAGAAAGAATGATGTAAGAAAAAGAAATTACCTTTGCTTTAAGATTGTAGTAAAAAGTAAAACATGATGGTGAAAATTATATTAGTTAAGTATCGTGACTAAAAACGGGAAACACAGGGAGTAGAAAAGGGAAATTAAATAATAAATTGAGCAAAATATAAATGTAAGTATATAAATAGCAGTGTGGTTATGCTGCACTACCACATTATGTTTGTTTTATTTAATTAAATGTGTGTGTGTGTGTTGGGGGTTAGGGATGGGGAGTTTTGTTGTTTTATGTTTTTGTGTCTTGGTTTTAATGTTTATTGTATTTTGTTAAATGTTGTTTAAAAAAAGACAAACATTCAAGGATTGTCTGTGTGCTTTCGCCAACACTTTCTCCTTCCGTTCACGTCATTCATTCGTGTTTTTTGATGGTGCTTCTGTGTCGTAGCTCTTAGGAGGACAGAAGTCGACTGGAGGATTCTGGACGTTCGAGTATTATCAGTCTTTCTTTAACGTGGACACCACACAGGTACGACCAGCACAAACCGCTGACGACTGAAACCAACTGAGCCTTGATCCTGCTACAGTTTTCTACTTTGTTTCAGTTTCCTCCAGGTCTGCACACGATCAGGAAACAGCTTTAATCAGGATCGTATTTAAAGAAATTTGATGTGTAAATCTAGATATTTTGTAACTTGTGTAGTTTTAATTGATTGATTGATTTGTTTTTATTTCGAGTTTGTACCAATAGAGAAACAATAATCATGTATACGTGATTGTAAACAACAGAAAAGCACATTTCTCGAAAAGTGTGGTGGGAGTAGTTACGAAATGTGTGAGTGTAGATTTGCCAGAGTCATGTGTGTTTATCCACATGTAAAACGTGAGTGAGTATTACACACATTTGATTAATTATTATTATTATACCTTGGTTACCAGTGTCTAAAGGCTGCCACACGCTACAGGATTTTTCGGTCTTAAATGATTTGCAACGTGCAGCCTGTAGAGGCCTGTAGAGGCCTGTAGAGGCTGCACTAGCACTGATTCAGGATTGTCTGCAGGTGCTGGGGTTCAGAGAGAGTCTTTCAGGTTTATTTGTAACATCATCATTTATTTTTTATGTTGCTTTGTAAGAGTACATTTGGATTAAAACACAGGTCATGTTTAGAAAATTTTAATTTCAAATTCTACATACTCTACCATGTTAAGATATTTTGAACAACATGGTTCTTGCTCATGAGTCTTTCTGTGATGTGCAGGTCCTGGACAGACTCAAAGGCTCAGTGATGCCTCTGCCAGGACGAAACTTCATCAAACATCACCTGAGGAGCAACCCAGACCTATACGGTACAGTACAACATGTTTTTTTTTTTTTTTTCACCTTTAAACACTCATGTATCAGAATTAAAGTGCAGGTATTAGGTATTTTTTGTCATCAAATCATCAAAAACTGTCAAAAACAGTTAATTTAGATGAATTTTGTCCGTTGTTTATAGTCTGGTTGCTAGGGAACAGTTATGGAGGTACAATTATGAACCTCAACAAAATTGTCACACTAGAGAAAACTAGACAAGATTTTTGGTCAACTCTTATATAAAATGTTTATTCGGCTAGTTCATAAATGATAAATTGCGTTATGTTTCAACAGTAATCGACAGATACATAAAGCCGATTATTTTACATTACTAATCACAAATATAATCTAAAAAACAATTTGATCATTCTGAAAAGAAGTGGGGAGAAGCAAACACTTATTTATCCCCGCCCTCTTTTACAAAACCATTAAAGCAATAATGTCCTTCTGCCAGACTTTTAGAGTCATTTTTAGAAGTCATTTATTTGGTCACTTTGCAGCATTACAAAACAATCAAAACAAAACACAGACTTACAACCCCATGGATCAGGACCGAAAGTGTTTAGGCTGAAGTTAAAAGTACTTATAACGCCAAACTCTATTAAACAATGATAGAATTCCTAGAAAGAAAATAAGTCACATTACTCCAGATACAAAATAAATAACTGCAAAATAAATAACAGTTTTAAGACACATTCAAATGACATATTAACTTAAATTCCTTTTTCTGCACACTTAACTATGATTATTTCTTTATATCTTCATTTAAACATTTTCATACTTGAGCATTTTTGGATTTGTCTTATGAAATATAATGATGTTAACTGTGTTTTAATGAAATGTAATAAGCATTTTAAGGTCAGAAATGAATGTAAGTCAATGTAATATCCTTGTGTTTGTGTGTGCGTGTGTGTGTGTGCGTGTGCGTGTGTGTGTGTTGCGTCGGCAGGTCCGTTCTGGATCTGTGTGACTCTGGTGTTCACTGTGGCCATCAGCGGAAACCTGTCCACGTTCCTCATCGAGAAAGGGAATCCTGCTTATCACTACACGCCACAGTTCCACAGAGGTAAACGAACAACAAGACGACACAATCATCAAAAACACGCCTGAAGAGGTTTTGGACGTCATCCGTGCATGTTTGAGTCATTTAGGGATCTCTTCCAGGCCCTGTAAAAAGTCCAATTACACAGAGTTACTGAAACGTGTAAATGAAACAAAACATAACTCCCGGTCTGTTTTTGAGGAGGGAGCTGGATTATAACTTGGTTTAAAGTGTAATATTGAGTCTTTAAGCGTAAACAGTAACGTAGTGAGAATTTTGTGTTTTGTTTGTTTTGTTTGTTTGTATTTGTTTTTTTTTTACTCAAAATTATGAAGAATCATGTTATTAACATTAACAACGTTTATAATCACCTACAGAACATAAATCACAGACTAAAACAGACGAACCAGGACTAAACCAAGACTCAACCAAGACTGAATCGGGATTAAACCAGGACTACACCAGGTCTAAACCAAGACTGAACCAGGACTAAACCAGGACTGAATCGGGACTAAATCAGGACTAAATCAGGACTAAATCAGGACTAAACCAGGACTAAACCAGGACTCAACCAGGACTCAACCAAGACTGAATTGGGACTAAACCAGGACTGATTCGGGACTAAACCAGGACTGAATCGGGACTGAATCGGGTCTAAACCAGGTCTAAACCAGGTCTAAACCAGGACTACACCAAGTCTGAACCGGGACTGAACCGGGACTAAATCAGGACTAAACCAGGACTCAACCAGGACTCAACCAAGACTGAATTGGGACTAAACCAGGACTGATTCGGGACTAAACCAGGACTGAATTGGGACTGAATCGGGTCTAAACCAGGTCTAAGCCAGGTCTAAACCAGGTCTAAACCAGGTCTAAACCAGGACTACACCAAGTCTGAACCGGGACTGAACCGGGACTAAACCGGGACTGAACCGGGACTAAACCGGGACTGAACCGGGACTAAACCGGGACTAAACCAGAATAGAACTAGGACTAAACCAGGACTAAACCAGGACTAAACCAGAACTGAACCAGGACTAAACTAGAACTGAACACCCCTGAGCGTAAATGTCGGTGTGTCTCGTTCGTCTCCGCAGTGACGGTGGCGTCTGTCGTGATCTTCCTGTACGCGTGGCTGGTGCCCATCGGCCTGTGGGGCTTCCTCAGCTGGAGACAGGGCGTGGAGAGGCAGGTGGGAGGCTACTCTTTCCTGGAGACCGTGTGTGTCTACGGCTACTCCCTCTTCATCTACATCCCCACGTCTGTGAGTACAAACAAAACAGAATAATTGTCTCTATTCAGGAAGATGTTTGGAAACGATTACGGAAGCGATTACAACTTCCGGTGTAGTTCCCGACACTGGGCTCACCGACCGACAGTGATAAAACCCACTGAAGTAAATGTGATCAGCGGTAAAATGAAGACTGCAGACGTATGTGCTGTCTCGTCTCTTCTGATCGCATGTACCCAGTGTGCTCGGAGTTGTCAGTCAGCGGGGAAATGATGAAAACTGACTCAAAATAATAGGCTCTGTTCACGCTGACGTCACCAACCGTGAAGATGTTTGGAAATGTTTCTTCTGAATATGTAACAATAACTGAAATATCGTGATACCGTATTGTGAAAAGTCTCACAATAATACTGTGGGTCAACACAATATATCGAATTACAAGTCTCTGCTTAAATTTGTTGTTTTGGTGCAGCAATAGCTAAAAAAAAAAAACTTTGGATATTTCATAAATGATAAATTTCATTATGTTCCAACAGTAATCGACAGATGCGTAAAGGCGATTATTTTACGTTACTAATCACAAATATTATCTAAAAAATACAAAAATTTAAAAATCGATCATTCTGAAAAGGAGTTGGGAGAAGTAAACGCTTTTTTGCCCCGCCCCCTTTTACAAAACTATTAAAACAATAATGTCCTTCTGCTTTCTTCTTCTAAAAACAAAAAAAAAACAAACTACATATACCATGATCCTTTGCTTCATTACAGTGCAGACTACATGAAAAGTAATACAAATAATCATAATCATAATTTTTAAGCACATTTAAATCTTAATTCTTTGGTTTATGTCAGAACAAAAGTCTTGTCAAAAAGTTATTCGGAGATTTGGCGTGGAATGACCCTATACATTTTCAGTGTATTTAGAAATTCCAGTTAAAAATTTCTTTCAAATATTCAGCAAAAATATTTTCAAGCCCTCAAAGCAACAGTCAGATCTAAGATGCCATGAACAGGTGTACAGACTTGACTTATTCTTACATCTCTTTATTTTTGCCGTGGTCAGATTCTGTGGATCATCCCGTTCGAGTGGCTGCGCTGGACGCTGATGGCGGTCGCGATGGTGATCTCGGGCTCGGTGCTGGTGCTGACGTTCTGGCCGGCGGTGCGAGACGACTCCAAACCCATGGCCGTGTCCACAGTGGTCACCATCGTGGCTCTGCACGCCCTGCTGGCCGTCGGCTGTAAGGTCAGTGCTTCAAGTGCTAGAATTTAGTGCTGCAGTAATTTCTGATGGAGCGATACTTTGCATTTCAGTTTCAATAAAAATTTTGTTCACAATTTTAAATTATAATCCCACAATAGGCGAGTTTCAGCTGACGTCATTGTTATTAAAAGCCCGTGTTGCATACTGGGAAATATTTTGGTCGGAGGCAAGAAACACGGTCAAACACAGTGCGTAACCTCACGTATTTCTCCCTGATAATGGTAAATTCCTGCTGCATTATCAGATGCACAAATAGAAGCACGGAAGAAGGAAAATGTGTTTTTCGTATTCCGAGTGAAAAGAACCGCTAACGGTGAATTAAACGACTTTCAAACATCCGCAGAGCAAACGTAGAAGATCCTAACAAACCGTGGACTCAAACAAGTTCAACAACACATCGAGACTCTTGGAGGTTTTCATCTTTTCTGCTGTGAATGGCCCAGGAGTTTCCACCAAGTCATTGTGGATATCGTCAAAGTGAATGTTTGTCCAGGTAGTTGGCGATTCTGACCAGAAATTTGGTTTGGTCCAGGCTCTGTAGGGGTTAAAAAGGGTGATTTGTCGTCCGTCGATGTTTATGGCCAATTTCTGGTCAAATGGTCTTGGGTCCTCTGCCATTAGAGTGGATAAATAACCAGGATCAATACCCTTTACGTGCTTTCTCGCTCCGTCCGTCATGTTGAATTAGTGTTTCTTGCCACCGACCAAAATAATTCCCAGCATGCAACGCGCGCTTTTGTCAACAATGAAACTCGCCTATAGACCCACTCACTTCTATGTCTTTCGTAAAATACCAAATTATAGCCTGGGCGTTTATTTGTTTCAAATCCTCACTTTCCTCACAAAAATCTTGCTCAACAAAACTGGGAACATATGATACTCAGATTCTTTTAACCAGTATGATTATAATTTACATCCCTCCCGACCGCCTAAGAGTCTGATGATTGTGTGATTCATAGAACCATAGTTACAGCCATAACCTGAGACTAGATCTTTCAAACTTTCCAAGGACTAATAAATAAACTTGCCACTCCAGAACCATCAATGGAAGCTCACTAGTTTATTTCAAGGAATAGTTTACAGTTTGACTGAAGAATGTGTAGAACTGCAGACTTTGCTCTATCCCCAAATGGACCATAAATATTACCAACAAATGGTCCTGAAGGGAACATACAACATGCCATTCTTTGATAAGATTTCAGAAGAAAAACTAAATAAAACAAGATTTTAAAAAGGATCTGTGTGTGTGGAAAGTGCCAAAATTTGAAAAGTGCGAAAATTTAAAGAAAGTAAATTAAATTTTTTTCAGGTAAGTATGACTAAACTAAAACATACAGAGATGATTATTTTCAATACTGATCGTAAAAGGCTCAACAATAGAAATGAAATCACTGACTGTTCAAAAGCTGAGAAGCCGCTGGTTTCTGTTTCCTTCTTTTTACTGCTGAAAATCCTCAATCCTACATGTACGGCCCGGAGTCAGAATTTTAATAAATAAAACAAGATTTTAAAAAGGATCTGTATATGTGGAAAGTGCCACAAAGATTTGAAGGCATCGGCGTTATACGATGGTCTGGCGACTACTTTTCCGACATATTTTAATTAAACTGTTATGATTTTTGTTTTATTTGTTTAGTTTGTGAAATACAATTTATCATCGAATTGCAATTTGCTTCTCACGACATTTTCTTCTCTTGTCTGTTTTAGATGTATTTCTTCCAGACGGCTTCGCACATCGTTCCTCTACACCCGACCACCGCCCCGATCCAGACCCACACCCTGAACCAGACCAGGACCCACTGAGCCTCCTGGACCGAGCCTGGGACGAGCCTGGACCGAGCCTGGGCCGAGCCTGGTCTGAGCCTGGTCTCTGGACTCTACACAGACTCTTTGCTGTAGACTGAAGGGAAAACTGTGAATGACTGCAATAACTCTGATGGTGAAGAATGTGCTTTGTCCTGTTGGTTTAATTTAATGTTGAGAAACAAGTAAACTCAAGTAAATCGTCAAACTTCAGAAGAATTTGTGTTTTTATCTGCTGTACACTCTTCATCTTCCCTCAGTGAAATGAATTGACTTGTTGTATTTTGGTGAACTGGTGACCTGGAAACCCTTCAGTTCTCCAGCAGCGATTCATGGACTAAACCAGAACTCAACCAGGATTCAGGGATTCAGGTCACTGCAACTAATTTCTTGAGGAGTTAATTTTTAGATTTGAAAATGCTTCTTGATCACTTAAATGGTCCATATTACACACGTTTAACACACAAACCTGAATATTTCATGTTCCTCTCCCAAACGGAAAACCCTCTGTTTCATTTTGTGATGTCATGGAAGTGCTCCACCGTGTTTTTAAACTCCACACGCCTTCATCAGAATCACTAGAAAAATTTCAGCCCTTGAATATTTACTGA